TGAACCCTTCCACCTTAGACTCTTTGGCGGGTTGAAGACCCTGGCAGTTATTAAGTATCTTTTCTTTTCTGTACACTGACAGCATTTGCACCAAGACAACTTCCTTGTGTGTCCAATCACACTTGGCCAATAAAGAATTCTATTCTATTCTATATTCTATTCTATATTCTACAGTATATTCTATATTCTATTCTATTCTCTAGTCTATATTCTATTCTATATTCTATTCTATATTCTATATTCTATATTCTATTCTGTATTCTATTCTATTCTATATTCTACAGTATGTTCTATGTTCCATTCTATATTCTATTCTATTCTATAGTCTATATTCTATTCTATATTCTATTCTGTATTCTATTCTATATTCTACAGTATATTCTATATTCTATATTCTATTCTATAGTCTATATTATATTCTATATTCTATTCTATAGTCTACTATATTGTATATTGTATATTCTGTATTCTATATTCTATTCTATATTATTCTATTCTATATTATTCTATTCTATATTCTATATTCTACATTCTATATTCTGTTCTGTTCTGCTCTGCTCTACTCTACTCTATGGCAGTTTCAGCCAAGGCACCATGCCACCCGGTGCCTGCTAGGAAGCAGCGGACCTCCTTGGACTGGAGTAGAGAATCTGGAGACTGCAGTCCTTTAGGCCAATTTTACAAGTAACAGCTCGATGAGAAAGCCCCACCCCCCATTGGCTTCAAGCAAGCCAAGACTAAGGCAGGGGGTCGATCAGGGAACTACAGTGATGAAGGAGGATCCGATCTTCAGAGCACCCCTTAGCTCCGTATCTTTGCCGCAATCAAGCCTCCAGCGCCAAGTAGGGGGAACCCAAGATTCCTGGGATTTTCTCCAAAGGCCTTGGAGGGGATCTACCCTAGCACAGCTTCCCCCACTCATCCCGATCCCCCTAATTTGAAGCGAACTTCCAACCGACAGCCATGAAGCCGAGAAACGGGATATGATCCAACGCGGTTCCCAATTGCCGCGCAGAGCCTTTCTTGCAGGGGGGGGGGGTCCCCAAACTTGGCAACTTTAAGACTTGTGGACTTCAAGTCCACAAGTCTTAAAGTTGCCAAGTTTGGAGACTTCTGCTTTCTTGGGGTGGTTCTTCTTCCCACACTGTCTGGAGGACAACTGACTAAGTAACCGGCCCATTGAACTGCAGTGCTGCACTTCTGGCCAGGCCTGGGTGATTCCTCCAACGGAGGCGAAGGGCAAGGGAGGCCATGGACTGACAAGCCAGGGAGCTTCTGCTGTTTTGCTGAACATAAAGGACATGAGGAGAAGCGTTGAAGAATAAAGACTTATTTGGGTGGAGCTGGCAAGCCTGGCTCGTTTTCTTTGCCCGATGTCTTTGTCTCGTGTGGTGCGCAGGCAGCCTTCCCGCTTTAGCCAGAAGCCCGGGATTGCTTAGTGGTTTCCTGTCCAACCGCTAACTAAATCTGCCCCTGTTTATCTTCTCAGTGCAAGCAATGCCAGCCAGGTGCTGCCACCTGCTGAGGCAACCAATGAGCACTGTTGCTTTTCATCTCTCCCGGTGTGATTTAACCAACATTGTTAATCACAAAGCCACCTTCTACAACTCGAAAACTTTGGGGAAGCGCGGAAAGACGCTTTTGAAATAAAATAAAATAAAATAAAATAAAGACCGACCCTTCTGGTTGCTGCTTTTGTTGCTGTTGCTCCCGGGAGCGTCTGCCAAAAGTACCTGATTTCAAGTTTGCCTTTTTCTTCATCTGTTGAAATGGCACTTCAGCCATTTCCCCGCAGCTCCAAAGGGAGGTTGGAGAATTTGCAGGAAGCAGGGAAACAGGCTGCAAGAAGGGGACTTTTAAGAGCCTCTTAAAAAAATAGTATGGGCAATATAAGCAGTCTCAGCAATTAACATCCGAAGGGGAGAACTAAGGCGGCTAACCTGGAGGGAGATGGGCTTTAAAAAAAAACCTGTCTTGAAGAGGAAGCGTTGGGGGGGGGCGCTTCGGAGGGCGTCTTCCCTTTCGCAGGGACTTGGAGTCTTGGACTGATCTGGAGCTGTCGGCAGCTCCCGCTTCATTAGGACAGACCAGACACTTATTTGATCTGTTATGACAGCAGCGCTCAATTAGATCGCGTTGCTGAACCACTCCAATCAGGAACTTAATGCTCAGAAGCTCCAGCGCCAGGTCACAGCCTTGACACATCAAATCAAAATCAGGGGGCGGGAGGAGGCCTTTCCCTCCGTCCAACCAGGAGGCTTGGAAGCGACGCCTTCCCTCCCTCTCCCCCCCCCCCTCTTTTCCCCCCCCCCCCCCCCCCCCCCAAGTTTCCTAGTCCTGAAGACCCCGGGGTACCATCTTGTTTTGCTCCCAAGAAGGGGCACTGGGAACAGCGGTGATTTGTGCAAGCAAGAATGAAAACAAGAGTATTTTAAAAATGCAAAGCAAGGAAACTGTGTTTTGTTTTGTTTTGTTTTGTTTTGTTTTGTTGTTGAGAAGCTTTGAAATGAAATTATCAGTAATTAAAAGCAAGAGAGCTGCGAACCTTTCCTGGGCTAGGCTATGAGCGCAGCATCTCAGCTTCAAAGGCCTTCCTATGAAGTCCTGCAAAAAATACGTCCATGCCAAATCCATTCTTAAAATGCCACTGATGGGCACCACCAACAAATCCAAGGTTTGCCAGGAGAAGAAAAAAAGAGAGAGAGAGAGAGAGAGAGAGAGAATGCTGGCGCTCCCAAGAGAGCTTAACTCTTCCCCAGAAGGAGGGCAAAACCAATTCTTCCAAAGTCCCCATTTTCTTTCTTACGAATATTTTTTTTTCTTACGGATCTTCAAGGAGACGAAATTCAAGTCCACTACCCAAGTCCTCCTGGGTACACCGAGGTCTCCGCTGGACAAACTAATTGCATGGATTCTTCCTGAAATTCTTCCGGATTACCGCAATCGAATTTTGGAGCTGCGTGATAAGCATCGTGGACACCAAGAGGTGGTGTAAAATGAATGCTATGGCCCGAAGTAATAGCAACAACTACTGCTTGACCCCATAAACAGCACAGAGAGGCAAGCGGCAAATCCATGCCCCAATTCGTCTCTCTTTGCCTCCCCTCCATGGAGTTGTTTCAAAGCCGCCTCTGCTTCCTCACCTTCAATTTTAGGACACCACATTCTTGTTTTAGGCGGAGACCCAATGATTCGCAGAGACCTAAAAGAATTTCTATTTTGGAACTAGAGCGCTTTTATTTATTCGGAATCTCAGCTTTCGGGACAGCTCATGGATCTCACCCTGGATCTCGTTATAGGTCTGGACTCTGGAGAATGGGGAGGTGGGTGAGCGGTAAGAAAAGGTGTGGGTGGGTGGGTGAAGGGTTCGGGAAATCGCAACTCCGCAGGAGAGCCGTTTAATTAACTGATAATTGATAGTTGGCGCAGCTAAGCGTGGCAGAGTGGAGCCCCAAAAGATCGCCAGAGGTTTCTGAGCAGATATCTCTATTTTCCCTACAAAGGAGAAGTCAGACGGTGAAGCACGAAAAAGTAAAGAAAACCCGCAAGACAAGCGCTCTACACAGCGATCCCAAGATTTGGTTTGGTCTGCGCAGACTTCCCGCCCTCACATTGGAATCTCAGAAACTGCGCCTGATCTCTGCAATTCAGGAAAGAGAAGAGAGAAGAAGGGAGAGGAGAGGAAAAAAGAAAGGGAAAGGGAGGGAGGGAGGGAGGGAGGAAGGAAGGAAGGAAGGAAGGAAGGAAGGAAGGAAGGAAGGAAGGAAGGAAGGAAGGAAGGCAGGCAGGAAAAGAAGGAAGGAAGGAAGGAAGGAAGGAAGGAAGGAAGGAAGGAAGGTTTCCCCATCCATCCGTCCATCCCGAAAAAACCCGAGACGCGCAAAATCGTCCAAAAAGAAGCGCTTTTCAACTCCTTCTCCCTGCTTGGGCATAACCTTCGAAGTCGGAAGAGCCGAAGTCGAATTCAGCCTCCCGCGGTGCAATCTTGTCTCTTACCGAAACGCAGAAAGGGATGGGCATCGGGATCGGGGCCAGACAACGAAGAAAGCAGGTCGGGAACCGGGACCCTTTCCCGGTAACGCCGACGAAGCACCTTCGCCGACTCCCACTCTCGACCGAGCAGTTGAACGAGTTATATTACTACTACTGCCACTACTACTGCCGCTGTGAATGTGCCACCGGGCTTAGTGAAAATAAGGAAGCAGGGCAGGAAAGTGCGCACTCGAGCCAGATTAAGCTTCCGCGTGTAAGAAACCTAGCGTTGCTTTTTTTTCCCTTTTTTCCTTTGCCCCAATCCTGAACAAGTCAGCCAATAAGGCGCTGCGCTTTTTAGGACCAAGCGCCAGAGCCCGTCGTATCTGTGCTTATTCCGAAAGGCATATATGCTACAACTCAAGGGAGCCCCATTTTTGGTGCACCATTGCACCCAAGGAATCCTAAAGCTGACTCCCAAACCAGGAGATCCAGCGAATAGGACACCTTACACACACCCCGGACAGAGAGAGGTTCACAGAGGGTTTTTCCCATTCGCGTTACGCTTACGACCTCCGTCGCTCGCAGCCAGCTTAGCCTATTGTTTGGCTAAGAAGTATGGGTGCTGTTGTACTCCCCACCCACCCAGCCCATCCCAAAGCGGTCAGAGAGCAGCTGTGGGTGAGGTTACCGGCCGGCCCAACCCCGGATAAAGAAAAAGAACCGGCCCGGTGGCGGTGCGTAAAAGCCTGCAGACGCGCTAGAGATCTAGCTGCTCTTTTGGCAAAGGTGCCTGGGGACGCGACCTCTGGAAGCGAACTAGAGCGCGCCCAAGTTATAGTCCCGGCGTCCAGCAAAGCTGGCTGGGGAATTCTGGGAGTTGAAGTCCTCCAGGCTTAAAGTGCCCAAGGTTGGAAACCCCTGGCTCGAGTAGATCGGGCGGAAAGTGGGGAGAGATCGCGGATCCAGCCGGCTGGCCGAGCAGGGTTTGGGAAGAATCCCGTCCGCGGTGCTTGAGAGCTTCTTACCTCGGCCCCGGTCCACAAAGCTGGTGATGGTGTTGGCCGCTTTGGAGGACTGGAAGAAGCTGGCGTTGATGCCCAGTTTCTCGGCGATGGCATAGGTCCGGTAGAGGGAGAGCATGTACTCGTGGGGCTCCACGCGCGGCTGGGGGACCGCCGGTCCCTTTTTGGCCGCCTCCTCTCCAACCGATCGGGACGCGCCGCCGCTTTCCCGGCAGCTCCGCTTGCCCTTGCCGGATTCCCGGAGAGACGGCGCAGCGGCGGCGGCGGCGGCGGCGGAGGGGATGGTGGCCTGCTGGCAACAGGGAAGATCCCCCCAGAAGAAACCCGCGAGGAACACGGCGGAGAGCAGAGCCCGGGCCGCATTCATAGCGAGCGAGCGAGCGAGAGCGCTGGCCCGGAGCAAAGCGCCCGCCCGCCCGCCCGCTCCGCCCAGCCTCCTCGCTCGGCGCCCACGGCCAGCACCAGCGAGCGGCCAGCCCAGCCCGGCGCAGCTCCCTCCGGCCGTCTGCGGCGCGGCGTCCCCAGCGCGAGAGGCCAGAGCCCCGACGGGACACGCCCCCCGCCCCTCGCCGCGCCCCCCCCCCCCCCCCCCGCGACACAGCCCTTCCTCGGTGGCGGCCACGCCTCCCGCTCAGAAGGGGGAGTAAAGATGTAGTTGGCCTGAGGCAGAGCTGGCCGCCGGGTCTCCAAACAGCGCCGGAGGCTCTGACAGAGACAGAGACAGATAATCAGAGTTGGAAGGGATCTTGTAGGTCATCTAGTCCAACCCCCCCCCCCCCAAGCGGGAGACCCTACACCATTTCGGACAAATGGCAGTCCAAGTAGAGAAGGTTGTGCTAGAAGAAAAGTCCTCCCTACACTTTACCCTAACTCTTAACCCACCCATTTTAGAATAGAATAGAATAGAATAGAATAGAATAGAATAGAATAGAATAGAATAGAATAGAATGGAATGGAATGGAATGGAATGGAGTGGAGTGGAGTGGAGTGGAGTGGAGTACAGTAGAGTACAGTAGAATAGAATAGAATAGAATAGAATAGAATAGAATAGAATAGAATAGAATAGAATAGAATAGAATAGAATAGAATAGAATAGGGAATGGAATGGAATGGAGTAGAGTAGAGTAGAGTAGAGTAGAGTAGAGTAGGGTAGAGTAGAGTAGAGTAGAGAGTGGAGTGGAGTGGAGTGGAGTGGAGTGGAGTAGAGTAGAGTAGAGTAGAATAGGGAATGGAATGGGATGGAATGGAATTTAATGGAATGCAATAGAATAGAATAGAATAGAATAGAATAGAATAGAATAGAATAGAATAGAATAGAACAGAACAGAACAGAACAGAACAGAATAGAATAAGGAATGGGATGGGATGGAATGGAATGGGATGGGATGGAATGGAATGCAATGGAATAGAATAGAATAGAATAGAATAGAAGAATAGAATAGAATAGAATAGAATAGAATAGAATAGAATAAGGAATGGGATGGGATGGAATGCAATAGAATAGAATAGAATAGAATAGAATAGAATAGAATAGAATAGAATAGAATAGAATAGAATAGAATTCTTTATTGGCCAGTGTGATTGGACACACAAGGAATTTGTTTTGGTGCATATGCTCTCAGTGTACCATCTAACATACCTGTCCTATTGTCCCCATTTATTTGTACCTATTTCCTGTATTCTTACTCATGTTTATACTTATACCTATTATCTTGTAAGTAACTGACAAATAAATAAATAAAATAAATAAAAATAAATAAGTGTACATAAAAGGAAAAAAATATGTTTGTCAAGAATCATTTTTTTCTTGCGTAAACCAGAATCACACCCTTTGCACAAGCCAGATGATGAGCACTGTCAACACATTTTGGTTGTAGGGACACAACAGATGAGTTTTCTTATTTTAAACTGAGACCCAGCCAGGAACCCCTCAGTCCTTCAAAAACAAATGTTTAATCTGTTGTAGTCCTTTACAGGTAGCTTTATATATAACTTTTATATTTATATTACAGTTACCTGTAAAGGGCTACATTCCATTCCATTCTATTCCATTCTATTGTATTCCATTCTATTTTATTCCATTCTATTCCTTATTCTACTCTACTCTACTTTACTCTACTCTACTCTACTCTACTCTATTCTAGACTTACAACCACAACTGAATCCAAACTTTCCATTTCTAAGCAAGCCAGGGGTTAAGGTAGTTTGCCTCCATTTTACAACCTTTCTTGACACAGTTATTAAGTGAATCACTGCAGTCCTCCGTAACATGGGCGTGAAGTGATTCTGACTTCCCCACTGACTTTGCTTGTTAAAAGGATGCAAAAGGGGGTTGCGTGACCAGCACACTGCAGCCGTCACAAACACAGGCCAGTTGCCAAGAATCTGAATGTTGATCACACGATCATGGGGATGCTGCAACTGTGGTAAGTGGGGAAAAAAAGAAAAGATCATAAGCACTTTTTTCATGGCCATGGCAACTTCGAATGGTCACTAAACGAATAGTTGTAAGTCGAGGACCGCCTGTATCTTATCATGGCAACCTGCAGAACTAATCTGCCTGTTATATTTCCCTCCGTGCTCTAACTGAAGGGTTTCCACCAGTCAAGCTGCCTGGGATTTCATTCCAGTTTGACTGTAATCACCAACAAGGCAATTTTGCTTTAATATTTTTAAAGGTGTTGAGAATCGTCTTTGGATCTGTGGCTACACCAAACATCTAGGACGTTTGTGATGGCTAACCTTGTCCATATCGCGCTGCCGAAAGTGTGTGACTTTGTGTGCGCGCTGGCTTGCCTGCACCCATGATGCAATGCACGTGCGTCCCCCACCCTACTATGCATGCATGAGCACCCTCTGTGCATGCACTGCATGCCTATGCGCATGTGCATGTGACCCCCACGTGACCCCCATGCATGCATGCACATCTCCCACATGCGCATCTTCCCCTGCGCATACGTGGCAGATACCCGAAAATCAGCTGGCTGGCGGGGGGGCGCATGCGCAGTGGAGCTCTTCCGGGTGACCTCTCATGTACCTGGCAGAAATGGCTCTGCGTGCCACTTCCAGCATGTCTGCCATCACAGATTTAGGACAATGTTTCTCAATTTTGGCAACTTTAAGACATGCAGACTTCTGACTAGAATTCTGCAATTCTCCAAGTCCGCCCATTTTAAACCAGAGTTCTTTGCAGGAAGCAAAGACGTTTCTGCACTCAAGCCTGGTGGACGTTCGGAATATCTTGGTTGGTGTTTAGAGACTCTTTGTGTTTGAAATATTTCTTAGTAACTTTATGTAATGTTCTTGGCAGAGTTGAGAAACAACTGCTGCTCTTAGAATGCCAGGTACTCAAACAAAGGTTTTTAAATAGGACTGTGATCTTCCATGGGAAAAGGGCACCAGGCCAAAAGAGAAACCCAAGGTTGGGGTTCATGAACGAAGGCGAATATTTGTGTCCCTGGATAATATTGCAGGATCCAATCAGAGTCCATCACTGAGATCAGAGGTTTGGTCTTCTGAGCTTTCGTTCCCTGAAGAAGGGATCCAGCGTGAGTCCAAAACCTCGGAAGACAAAATGTCTGATCTCTGTGACCGACCCAGATTGGATCCTGTAATCATACTCTAATCAGAACTACATTTCTGCTTTTCCAATATGTAACACCAAAAGAAGCCTGGGCATCATGACACTGGGTGTGACCAAGGTCTCAAAGGTTGCCAAGCAGATTTACACTCATTCATTACATGACCTGTTATGGTTCACCGGCCACAGGCGTGGATGGCTGAGGTCTCGGAGAGTGAGGACTCAGATGATGGGCCTGCGTGTGATGCAGGGATGGGGCCAGGACCATCAGGGAGTGGAATGCTGCCTTCGGAGGTTGTGGAGGCTGGCAGCAGTGATGAAGAAGTCCCCGAGGAACCTGTGCCCAGTGCACATGCGCGCAGGGATGCTCGAAGGAAAGAGCAGCTGCAGCCGCATGGGCGACTCAGGAGTAGGGTTGCAAGGCAATGGCCCCTCCCTCAAGAGATAAAAGCCTGCTGAGAAACAGGAGTTCTTTGCAGGAAGCAAAGAAGTTTTTGCACTCAAGCCTGGTGGACGTTCGGAATATCTTGGTTGGTGTTTGGAGACTCTTTGTGTTTGAAATATTTCTTAGTAACTTTATCTAATGTTCTTGGCAGTCTTGCACCACCTTGGCAAGGCTCGTTCCTATTAGAGACAATGAGTTTGAAACAGCATTTTAACCATGAAGGAATGGAATTTGTAAAGAATCATTAAAAGGTTTTGCTGTTACCTCTGTTTCGTGTTTGTTTCCTTGGAACAAGGTTTGGGTCAGAACAGGACCATTCAAAGGGACAAGAGCATTTAAGAAAGGGACTTATGACCAGTTCTCACACTTATGGCCATTGCAGCATTCCCCCAGAGTCCCATGATCAAACTTCAGGTGCTGGCAACTGTCATATATTCATGGTGCTTGCAGTGTCCCATGGTCTTGGGATTGTCATTTGCAACCTTCCAAGGGAATTTCTGACAAGCAAAGTTAATGGGAGGATCCAAATTTGCTTAATGACCACATGATTCACTTAACAACTGTAGTGATTCAATTAACAGCCATGGCAAAAAATAAAGGTTGCAATTTACTTAACAACTGCCTTGCTTAGCGATGGAAATTGCAATCCCAATTGTGGTTGAGAACTACTTCGACTTCAAATTTGATATCAATATTGAAATCAAATTGTATCTGATAGAATCGTTTTTGGTCTCTAATCCTGGGCTGAAAAGAGAAGCTGATTTTGATTGGGAATCTTTTTGACCCCACTTTTTGACAGAAGAGCTTATTCCAGGAAAGTGCTGATGAAAAATTGCGTTGCTTGCAAATCTGACAAATGTCAGATTTGTGTTACGTTATTAATGATGTCAGTCACACACCAGTGATGTCACACCACCCTGTAACATCCCATTTTGATATGATCTCTAATTTATTGCACATTTTGTTATTCTTGAAAAGCAACAACCCAGAATATATCTATGCACCTGAAATGAAAGCAAAGGAGAATCCTGCAAAGAAGGTCAGTAAATGGTAGTAAACAAGAAGGATATTTCCATAATTGAACTGGAGATGAAGAAATTATTCTGTTGCTCATCACCACCACTTGTTTTGACTTAAGAGTCAAAACAAATAAATACTGCAGTCCTTTGATTGTAAGGAGAACATTGCAATCTGCTAAAATCCTATATTGATGGATCCTAGAACAGCCCCTTTTAACATTTGGGAGAACAAAAAAAAATCGCTTTTCCAATTGAAAGAGGTAGAATTGAAGAATACTTTTGAAGAAAAAAAAAAAAGACTGTAACCAACATTTGTATATATC